GAGGACTGGAGAGCGCTTCAGGAAGCTGATTGGCCACGAGCGCTACGGGACGCTGATTGGCCAGACCTTTCTCGAGTGCATCTGTGCGCCCCAGCCACCCCAGGGCAACGGTTGCGCTTCTTAGGCGGACAGGGGCCGAGCGACAGGGTGACCAAGATTGTCCCTGCCAGATCACGTCTGTGGCGTCAAGCGTCTGAAATAGGTGGGCTGTAGAACCGCTGTAAGTTTACATTGAAGATGGTCCATTTTATTCCTTTTCAGTACGCGCGTACGCACTCGGGAACATGGATATGGCATTTGCATTTAGTGGCTACTAGGTGACTACGATGAGGCCTTCCAAACTGAATGTACTATCGTTACGCCAGACCAAAAAAGAAGCCACACTGTCCTATGTCGGACGTTAATCCGACTGCATGAGTCTGTCCACATGAGCCTTTATTACCGCACATGTATGTGTGCGTAGAACACACTAGCTGGAAGCTATCGCCCCCTGTTCTGTCAGCTGGCAGACTTAGATAGCTTATCGAAGGCTAGTTGCTGTCTCGACATCATAATGATCCCTAAATCACAAGTCTGGGAAGACTGAATGAATTCGGACAACTTTACTGCTCAAGAAACTTTACATTAGCTGCTGCAAGCACCGCGTACAGAAACCAGTTGAGTCGGTGTATAAGTGTCTATGCGCGTGGGTTTAGCGAAGCCTTGCCCAGTCATTAGCCAGTCAGGAAAGGGTACAGGTGTTGACGTCAGAGCTCGCGAGGAATCGATTAGCTCCAGGGGCGCACGAAAGTACAAGAGCACGCAGAGGTAAGAGGGTGAGTCAGCGCTGGGCGCGCGGCTTAACAAAGGTTTGGAAGATGAGGAGGTGAATACGTGCAGCACTACCGAATTCAGACTGCCACAAGCTCATTGGTGTTTGGAAGAGCAAAGTGCGAATGAGACAAATGTTCAAAGACATTCCCATGGGAGCTGACTATACATTCCTCATTTTATTAAATTTGAGGCTCTTGAAACGACTGTGTTAAAAAAATAGTGGCTTCGAATGTTGTCAGCAGAGGGGTGGGGCAACATAAATGCGCGTAGATTGATACAGTTTGTTTTATGCTTATTCTGCTTTCATTCTGCCGATAATAATCCTCAC